ATCCTGCTCATCATTTCCCGCCCATATATCAATATCAACCATCTCCTCACATATCACTGCTCTGATGGAAGGGGCAGGTCATGAAACCGCAAGCACGTGCGACGTGTGCCTATAAATCAGTCCCAACTCAGATTTCATGCTTGCAGCTTCCCGCTCGTATATCATCTCCTTCCCTTCCCACTTAAATATCATGGTCGTCATTTCCCGTCACCTCTTACATCATGTTCCTACAAAGGGGTAGGGCCTGTCCAAAACTGTTTGCACGTGCGCCATATGAATATACAGCATCAGCCCCCGGCTCAAATACCATGGTTGTTGTTGCGCCCTGGAAAGTATCCGGTGCTCCAATGTCAAAAAACATTTTTAAATATTACAAAAAATTCCGGAAAAAATGAGAATGTTCACAATGAATGTCACTACCTCCCCTAAAAATTTTAGGTCCAAAATCGAAATGTACATTGAGAAACAAAAAACAGAAATCCATATCTGAATAGTGTCAATGTTGCTTTTGTCTCTTCTTTACACTATTCATGCTAGATTTCACATTTTCGTTTCTCGATGTGTATTTCGAGTTTGGAACTGAAATTTTTAGGGCTTGTAGTTACATTCATTGTGAACATTCACAAATTTTTTTGATTTTTTTGAAACCTTAAAGAAAATATTTTTTGACATTGGAGTACCGGGAGTACCCCAAGGTTGGGAGCACCGAATACTTTCCCTGTTGCCCCCACCCATATATCACCCCCCTCCCAATCACATAGCACACTCACCATTTTTACCATGGATGTAAAACGGCCGCAGCCCTTGAACATGATTACCCAATAGAATCAAGACCAAACTGCCACACTTGTTTTTTTTTCGACGGAGGACCAAACTGCTACTTCCCACCTCTGGGCAAGCTTCACTCGAAGTGGAAATTCTCAGAACTGAAGGACACACACTGCGAAACTACCTGCAGAGCCTCCTATAAAACCCACCCAATCCCCACCGTCTGAAGCACCCTCCGCCACTTCCCCCTGTTGCTATCTTCCACCGGCAGGTGAAGCCGACGGTGTCTTTCCTTTCATCCCCCAAGATGGCAGCGAGGTAGTGGGTCAGGTGGGAGGAGGAGATCTTGCTGGAGGACGATGATGAACACCACACGGAGTGCTTCTACCTCCGCTGCGCCCCACTCCTGGGCGGTGTTGTGAGCGAGAGGGATCTGGCGGTGGTGGGTAAGTATTGTCCGGACCCAGCCCCCGGGAACATGGTGTACTCGGCGGACCCGCAGTTCCTGCGGTTCCTCCAGGAGGGAATAACCTGTGACTCAGTGTTGGCTATGGGGGTGACGGTGCGGGTGGAGATCACCCAACTCAGCTGGAATTCCAGGAAGGAGGTCATCGACTGGCTCAACTTGCTCATCTCAGGTATTCGATTCAATAAGCCATACAGATCTTGTGTACGTTCTCCTTTTTGTCCATTCATGTCCTAGTGGTGAATTTTTTCTGGTGATTTTAGATCAGGCCGCTAGAATTAAGTTTCACTATGCATCTCCGCCACTATCCCGTACGTCATGCTTTTGTTCCGTCCAGGACAAGGGATCTGTGGGATATCTTTTGTCTAATCTAATAAATAGATAGATCTACTCCTCTTTTGTCAAGACGACAAGTAATTAACTTGTTAGATATCGAGGGGCCTATGTTCTATCGTGGCTAGTTTGCTAGATCTGGTTTATGCCTTTCTTTCCTTTTACTTTTGCGTGTTTGGTTAACTTATGTGTTTCCTTTAATTTGTGTTAGTCTTGTCAGGGCCGTCTTCAGAAATTTGAGGCCCCTGTGCGAAAATGCAAATTGTGATCCTAAAATTTCAAGAATACTCGGTTTTTAAGAAAAGAAATTTTAATAAATTCAAACACTGTATAAATTATAGGCTAGTCAAGATAATATAACAAAAATAAACGACCTGAATGTTAAACGAGCAACTATCTTGGAAATCTTGGTGTGTGTCAATTTGATTAACTAACCTACTTCATATATCCCCTAAAAAAAGTTGGTTGATGAATTGATGCATATGCGCACAATATACTAACTAATATGATTATTCAACAGCACACAAGATAGTCCAAATTTAATGGATTCAATTTGAGCGCACCTGTTAGACATATCGGTGATGGCCTCACCTTTGGTCTTGGCCACCCGCTGCTTCAACTTGTGTGTTTTGATTTGCTGCGACTTTCCGAGCGACCGGCGGCTACCGGAATCATGGAATTAGTTCTTGATACGAGAAGGGCTATGAACTGAGCTGTGTATCCGGGCAGGAAATGCAGCAATCACTAAAGCAAAAAAAAACAAAGCGAACGAAGCAATAAAAAACGAGACAAGACCACTAGCCTAGGTCTCCCTGCGGAGGCGGCGCACATCTGTCAGTTCGTCTCAGGAAAGATCGTAGATTGATCGATGGATCGGTAGGCTGTGTAGTAGATCGGGACTAGGGCTCGGTTCAGGACATATTGGAGCAGGCCCAGTTCGAGGGAGCCCGCGACTAGATGCGAAAAAGGGCCCAAAACAAATAATATACAGACATTGGCCCAAAACAGGGGGCCCCTAGAATTTGGGGGCCCTGTGCGGTCGCACAGCCCGCACATGCCCTTGGACGGGGCTGAGTCTTGTGAGGCCAATATGTGGAGAGAGGTTAATTTGCTTTAACTTATGTGTTTTCAGAAAGCAGCGGCCAGGCATCCAATGGAGGCGCTGCTAACCCGGTGAATTCAGTGCCTGTGCAAGAGATCTGCATAACCAACGAACAGGCCCCTGTCCCTGCTATCGACGAACAGCAAGTGATCGACCTTACCATGTCTGACGACTAAAGTCAGTAGCAGAGGATATGAAGTCTGGCATTTACTTTCAATCGTGAACTGTTATTTCTCAAAGATTTCGCGCATTCGCTTCTTGATGCGTGCTCTTTCAGATCCATTCTCGACAGAGATCAGTTGTTTGTACTTTCTGAATTTCAAATAAGTGAGACATTATATTCCTAGTCTATTTTACTCAGCTTTGATGTCTGTTTACTTGTCAGAAATTCTTGTTTTTTCTTTCTTCCTGGAATACACCAAGCTTCCTTTCTCAAAAAAGGAGGAATACACCAAGGGGTTCAGTCCCTCTTTCCGTTGGTCCCCTTATTTTAGGATGAGGATCGAGGAAACAATATACATTGAAATACCCATAATAAAGCAAATCTTGAACAAAAATATACGAGTTGGACAGAAACGTGCGACAATTTCTAGCAATATTAAGTAGACCCAGATTGTTTGGTACCAGCGTTATTAAGTACTTCTAGCTAAGAATCGATGTGCAACATGTGTGTGAACCTATTAGTACTTCTGTATATAGGGCGAGTCAGATTATTTGATCCGTATCTGATATGATTGTATGCTGCCACAGATACCCATACAGATCGGCCTGCTCATCTGCATCTTTATTTTGATAATAATTGGCCGTATGCATCATTCTGATGCAGAGGCCGGGGATTTCCCCCTTTTCGAAAAAAAATTTAGAACATCTCCATTAGGCGGTCCATATGTAAAAATAACTAACTATTGGATCTTCGAAAGCAAAAAACAGCTCTCCAATAGATGGTCCATATGCAAAAAAAAATTACATCTCCGCCACCCGGAGATGTAAAATACAACACCTCGCGGTGCAAATTTACATCTGCGGAGGCAGGAGATGTAAAAACCGCGGCCGCGGCCGCGTGCAATCGTCCAACCGGCCTTCAGTTCATTTCCCCCTTCTCCCTCCCGCCCGCCACCGCCCCGCCGCAGCTCCCCGACGCCACCCCGTCGCAGATCCAGCCTCGTCCCTACCCCCACCGCCGATTCCCCGCCTGGGCCGCCGCCCGCCGTCATACAGGCGGATCGGGCCATCGCCGCACCATGCTGCGCCGGCCCCGTCGGCCTCCGCTCC